GAGGAGGAGGAGGAGGAGGAGGAGGAGGAATGGTGGAGGGGGAGGGGGAGGGGGAGGATGTTGTCCACAGAGTCCTTGGGAGTCTCTGAGCTTGCTTGTTTTCTTGCAGATGTTTCATGACCCAAACTAGGTAACATCAGTGCTGGGAGGGAGGAGGAGGTGATGATCCTATCCATTATCCAAACTCTGTAATATCATCAGTGCACTGATGATGTTATCTAGTTTGGGTAACAAAACATCTGCAAAAAAACAACCAAGCCCAGACAGCACCAAGGACCCCTCATTTCAACTAGAAATATTCTCCTTTTATCAGTTTATTCTTTAAACACAAAACTCTGGGGGGGAAACAATTACAGCAAAGAATTTTTTTAAAGTATATAAAGAGTGTCTCCATGGACCGAAATGAATAATTCTAAAATATACTCTCCTGCATAGAGAAAAGAGAAGCATTTATTGTATAATTCTATGCCTCCGCAGTTTTTTTTAAAGACTGAATTTCTGCATTGTATAGCAATGGGTGTTTCAAATGTGTTTATGCAGAGAATAAAAGAAGATTATCAGGCTTTTCGTACCGAGATTTGAGATGAATATTTACTTGGGATTCGAAACTTCTACCCAAAACAAGGTCATTGGAACCAAAATTATCTCCAGCCATTTTAAATGTTTTTGAGGCAGCTAGTAATTAAAATGCACTGTTGCCTAATCTAATTGTCTAAACTGTAATCCAAGAAATCCTACCTGTAATTGCAGAGCTTCGTGATTTTCGAGCCCCTCCACTATGTTAGCAAATCGTTCTCCATTATTCCTCTCAGCTGCAATCGTTATAGCTCCTAAAATTTTGTCAAGCCTGTAACAGAGATTTATTTCAATGTGTTGTAAAGATATGCACGTACTTTAACAGACTATTCAAAAATCACACCTCGGATTCTTAAACGCCTTTTTTTTTGCCTCTTTGGTAGCAAATTGATTTAAAAACCAACACCTAAAAAGCAATCTGCTACTAATCAAGGAAATAAATCTTTTGAGTTTGCTTGCTGTTCCTTCGATTGTTTAAGGTTTGGATCCTTAAGTAACTAACTAGAAAAAGTTCACGGAAGAAAAAACGATTCCATCCTGTAGTCCTCCTTGCAGCTCTCTATGCTTGCATTCAAAAATTACTCCAAATCAAATAAAATACCTCTAGCTTTGTTGCAAGAGATGATAGCAATTGGGATTGGAGTTTCTGTCATGTGATGTGGGTGTAAAGTGGGAGGTCATGTGACAGCAGAGGTGGGTTGCTACATGGTTGCGTAACTAACTTATGGACGGTTTGGAGCACCTCCAAATCTCACTCCTGGCTGGCCCCGCCCATCCCACCCCTCCCAGGAGTCTCCACAGGGTCCATTTTGGAGGCAATGTAGGCACAGGGCCCACATGGAAGCTCATGGAGGGAGGGGGAAAATGGGCCTCCCAAAGGTTTCCGGCCTCCGGAGGGCCTCCAGAGTTTTTGTCCTCCCAGAGGCTAAGGAAAGCCTCTGGAGCCTGGGGAAGGTAAAAACAATCCCCCCACCATGATGCAGGAGGCCGACTAGGATATGTCCACCACGGCCATGCCCAATCAGCAACAGGGCAGTGAATCCATTGCTAACACTTTTGAAGCTCACTCCTGTGTGATAACACTTATTAATGATGGCAGTTCTGGCCAGCACTGGTTACCAACATTAAGTGACTAGCGCAGTACTCCATGGTCACATGATCACGATTTGCAACCTTTTCACAAGCAAAGTTAATGGGGGAGTTTGACATGCCCTGAACTAGGAGATCGCAGATGTGTTTATCCTCCAGACGGGTAGTCATAAAAGAACTCTTAAATCTCTTCGGAAGTCAAGGGCCAAGAGGAAACATATGGAGGTCAACGTATTAAAGCATTGGTCTCCGGACACGCTTCAAGGTGCTAGTCGTTACTTATAAAGCCCTGCATGGCATCGGACCTGGGTACCTGAGAGACCGCCTCCTGCCAA